TTCTTCTGTATGGGTAACTCTTGAGCTCTTGTTAAATATGTAATGTATGTATCAAAACTGTGATTTTTTTTGTTATGAATGCTGGCATTCATAATGTCAACTCTGATCTTGATAAAATACTGAAATGAGTTTTATTTTTTTAATAAACATATCTATGCTTCTTAATATGGTTGGCAGCTCGTTCATTCACTAACATGTAAGCAGGAAACAAATTAGAAATGAAGTACAGCTTGTCAAAATTAAAGACAAGCTGTACTTGTCTTTAATACTTCTCATAAGTGAAGAAAAGCATTGCGTGAGGTGTACTGCTCCTTTTCCTTTGTGTGGGGAGGGTGAAGTTTATCTGAATGAGTCAAACTGTTGATACACCTGGAGGATAAAGAGCTGCTTAGACTTGTTTCCAGGTCAGGGTGAACTCATTGGATTAGTTTTTATTTGCATTAGAATGGATTTGATCTACTTTCACAACTCAACTTGGTTCAAATTGGGGTCAGGAGTCCAACAAGTGTATAGATAAGTTCATTTGCAGATAACCAGTAACAGGTCACAAGACTGCATACTAACTTGTAATTACAAGATGATATGGTATGTCTGTCAGCTATTATGACTAAAGTGAGCATGATGGCTCTGCTGCAGCGTGAGACTTTGCATAACCAACAAGAAATAATGATCACTCAGGGGAAAACTACCACATCCAGTGCACTGCCATGCAACAGATGAACTGTCATACTTAAGTAAACTTTTCTGATGCAAGTTCTCTGAACTTGCATCAGAGAATGATATGCTCCTTGTATGAGAAAGTACCATGATCTCCACTTGTCTGTGCCATTTTCTCGGATGCAAGTTCAGAGAACTTGCATCAGAGAAGTTTACTTAAGTATGGCAAGAATCACAATAAAATGCTAAATGTTATGCAAAGCTAAGTTATAATTTGACTTAACAATCTGGGCTTCAAAAAATATTTCTACATAATATAATAATGTTATCATCAAGTGGGTAAATCATAAACACATAAAAATTGGCAGGTGAAAGCAAAAATTCAAATATTGCTCAAGTGACATGTTCAGTGTCAGTTCTCAAAGATGAATTGTCAAGATGATGTTGACTCACATGCTACAGCTACACCACAAAGAAAAAAAAAACATGGTTTCTGGTTGCAAACAAGTTTTACCATAGAATTAGTTAAAACTATGATTCAGACCTCAAACTCTGTACAATATGTGAATTGTTATGAAACCATACTTTAGTTTGAGTGGTTTTGCCTTTGTAATACCTTTAACGTGAGAAATATTCATTGTGGGTATTGGGAATGTCACAATTTTTCTTTCTATAGAATAGAGAACAAAAGCAACCACTTCTGTTTTAATGTTGTACGCCTGGTTTGAAGGGTTTCCAGTTGACATGACTGGAAACGTAAATTAAATCTTGCTACAATGCTAAGGTAAAAGTTTACAAATTTTTGTTTCATGTTGATGCATATAGAAAAAATACATATATTTACCGTATTTTCCGGAATATAAGTCACTTCAGTCATAAAATGCATAATAAAGAAGACAAATACATATATAAGTCGCATCGGAGTATAAGTCGCATTTTTGAGGGAAATTTATTTTATAAAATCCAACACCAAGAACAGACATGCCATCTTGAAAGGCAATTTAAAATAAAAATAGAATAGAGGCAACAACAGGCTGAATAATCGAATGGTATGTTAATGTTACATGACACATAAACAACGAACTGAGAACGTGCCTGGTATATTAACATGACATAGAAAGAGTTATTCAGATAAATATAGCATGAATAACATGCTAACAAGTTTACCAAACCATCCGTGTCTGTCCAGATCACTAAACGCAATAAAATCTTCATCCTCGATGTCGCTAGAGCGCCCTCGTGCAGTTGAAATAACATGTGATGTAATGATGTATTCATTTCCACACATAAGTCGCTCTGGAGTATAAGTCTCACCCCCGGCCAAGCTATGAAAAAAAACTGCAACTTATAGTCTGGAAAATACGGTATGTATGTTGACCTTATGTTGAGACATTTGGTTTCGTCTTTTCAAACTTCAGTTTTTGTGGTCTCACTAATCAACTATGACCACATGCTGCAATTGGATTGTTTTGGCGTCTTAAGGCTTATTTAATATATGGATTCATTATTTACATGAATAAAAATGTCAGTCTTTTTTCTTATTAATATTGAGGATTATGCTTAAACCTAACAAAAACCCAAAATTAAATGTCTTAGAAAACTGAGTTTCACACAAAACTAGAAAGTGTACAAAACTACTCAAATTATTAAACTTGTTGCCTGAGTTTGATATTTTAATTTAAATTGCAACTTTAGTGCAAGTTAAACACTTGTGTAAACAAGTGTTTACACAAGTTACACAAGTAATCATACATGAAAAACTGCCATAAATAAGCCTAAAAATATATATTCTTAAAACACAAAGACAACTAGTCCAATATCTGTGTAAACCTTTTACATTTTTATTGCTTTTTATACACTGAGAAGGACGATTAATCAAAGAGTCCAAAGCCCATGTCTTCGTCTGACTCTTCAGATTCCTCTTTCTTCTCTTCTTTTTTCTCTTCCGCTGGAAAAGAAAGTGAAACCAGCAATTCAGTGTAGATAAAACTATACAGATGTCACAAAAAACAATCATGAGTGTATCTTACATTTACAAACTATTTCATTTGTAGCTTCATGTTTACTTGTGTACAAAGACAGAGACATACCAGCAGCAGGTGCAGCCCCAGTTCCAGCGGGCCCACTACCAGCAGCTGCCGTCGGTGCTGCTACAGCACCTCCTGCTGGTACAGAGGCTAACTTGGAGAGGCCTAGAAATAGAAAGACAAAAAGGTTAGTAAACTTTCATCTGTAGTATAAACTGTAAAGTTATGTACCGTATTTTTTGGACTACAAGCTGCTACTTATTTTCCTCTCTTTGAACCAGGCAGCTTATAGCCTGGTCGACTTTTCTGTGGATTTTTGTTCAACCACCACTGTTAAACCATGCTCAGCAGTTTAACAGGAAGTGAATCATTGGAAGTCAAAATTGGAAATCAAAGAAAGTGGTGATTTTCATTTAGAATAAGCACATGCTTGATAGCTGCTGTATCAAGGATGCAGCTCTTTGCTGCGTCCTTGTGGAAAACTGAGTAAGGTGGAGATACCAGCGGCTTATAGCGTGGTGTGGCTTATATATGTACAGTTCCAGTTTTTCTTTGTTTTTTGTTTTTTACTTTGTGGGTGCAACCTATAGTGAGGTGTGCTCTATAGTCTGGAAAATACGGTAAATTATAAAGTCCTTACCTGAATTCATGACTTCGTTGATGTCTTTTCCATTCAGTTCACTAATTACCTGATAAATGAGTAAGATTTTTACTACATGGCGTCTACAAACAGAACTTCATAATCATTATAGTACATACTTTATTCAAGCGTTCATCATCAGCCTCAATTCCCACACTGCTCAGGATCTCCTTGATGTCTTTTGCGGAGGGGTTGGTGTTCCCACCAAGAACAGCGAGCAGGTAAGCGGCCACGTAACGCATTCTGGAAATAACGTGGCAAATGAGCAAGCTCTGTCTAGTTATCCATGCAAGGTCAAACATCACAAGAATGAATGTTTTAGAACTTCTGAGATTCATTTAAAATGAAAAGAATCCCAACACATGTACAACACTATTGGTTTGCAAGTAGTGCAATTTAAAACTGCAGAATTTCAAAAACTGCACCTGTCAAACTTTAAACAATTTTTTTGGGAGTGTTGGAAAATTTTGCAAAAATTTTACTAATTGCTCAATTTCTTACCTAAAAAAGTTCAGGCAGAAACAACCTAACATGCAGCTACGAAAAAGCAAAATTACCATTGTCCTTGGTATTGTTTAAAACCTGAATATAGCATAATTAGCACATTGAGGATAATGGGAGAAAAATAAGTTTTCAGAGCTTAAACGTAAAATTAAGCCTCTTTAAAATGCACACAGCGTCTGAGTCTCGTACAGACTTGATCATCATCATGTAAACACAAGGATTTCATTTCAGCGTTGCTAATTTTAGCTTTTGTTTTTGATGTCCTCAAAAAGAGTCAACAGACATCACACGACCAAATAAACGGTCACATTTTTGGATTTTGTTTTATACAACCTATACCTACCTATCTACGCTATTTATCCGATTAAACCATGCCTTTTATAGTATACATGACAGCTAGCACAGGCAGCAGCATGTGGCCATGTTGTCCAACTGCTTTCTAGTTCTATCTGCGTAGCAGAACACACAGCCGCGAGCATCACAATTTAAGCACAAAATATAAGTGTGTGCTTTATTAATATAGGATGTTACAGAAAGTGGTCTACGGAACATGGTATAAAAGGTGTACATTTTGACTTACTTTTAAGTCTAAATAGACACGAAACGTCGGTCACGCTAAGCAATCCGGAAGAGGGTGAGAGATGGTCCCGGAAGTTGAAAAGGGCTGGATACGGCATTCTCATTGGCTGGTTTGTCTGCCAGACAAATGACGTAAAAACCTACTAAGCTCTGCTCCCTTCTTTGTTTAAAAGATATGAAGTTTTGTATTCAGATTTTTTGTTGTTCAAATAAAAAAATCTATTCTGATTACAGATTTGTTTTAACTTTAGTTTTATTTAATTTAGGGTTACATATATCAAACCATAGTCATCTCGCAAATATATTCAACCGTTTATTTATTTATTTATTTATTTATTTTTGCAAAATTTGTCACAGATTAATTTTAATTTTTCTAGTGCAACTACAGAACCAATCTTTTACAGGGCATTCATTTTGTCAACTAAGACCTTTACATTTTAAACATTAGATTTCTACATAACCTAATTTGTTAAATTGTCTCAGTAAATCCTATTTTCAAGCATTTCTTCATATTTTTTAGCAATTTTCTGGTATCAGATTGTTTTGGCAATGCAGAGAGAGGCCAGTGTACACAAGTCAGATTAAGCCATACACAGAGTTGCAAAATATTTGTTTTATTATGTAGCTGTAGTTCCTGTAGTTACTACAGTCTATAGGAGCTAGACTGCAGTGTCGTTCCTGTAGAAACTGGAACAGTTTTCACTGTTACATAAATATCGCACGAGATACAAAAAGTGTAAAAGTAATGATGTGAACACCTTTTTTCATATCCTACAATTCAACCAGCTCCTCCTGTTTCTCTTGAGTAAAGAGCCAGTCGATCAGAAACACGACAGAGTCTGACACAAACTCTGCTATCTTCTTCACATTTGACACATACCAAATTTTATACAAACATTCGATGAACAAAATCATCACAAAGATGATTAAAAAGGCAAGAAAGATACGATCCATACAATAGTTTGCCTTTTCTCTGAAGGTCCATTGCTCCCATGGTTGCGCATGCTGACTTTCTACACGTTTACTGAAATGCAGCAAAGCTTGCTGTTCATCATCCAGGTCTTCCTCCGGAGCCTCTGGATCCTGGCTGCCATTTGTTTCATCAGCATTTGCCATTTTATAGTTCCAGATGTAAACTGCTTTCAGAAGCTTGAGGAGATAAAGGAAAACAAGATGCCAGTGTTTCTATTCAAAACTGGAGAGAAAAAAAAAACATCAAAAACTTTAGTCTTATAAGTATGAAGCATCCTACCTTGAAGAAGATTTATATTTTAGATTTGAGAAATATTGAAGAACATCAGAAATTGAGACAGGTATCTTCTTTGCTTCTCTTTTAAACCATGCTTCTGTTTCTTAAGCATTTGTTAGGCCATAGAAAACAGAAACAGCTCGTGAAGCCAGTAACGCCAACTTGGTTATGTGGTATCTCTGTCACTAAGACAAGGGCTAAGGATTTAACCATGCTCAGCAGTTTGAAATCCCTCAGCAAGGAGGGGAGGCTGACAGATGGTAATATACGTATTAATGAGTTCAGGACTAAGAGACAGACAGAAACAGAAAGGCACAGTGTTAACATTTTCTTCCATAACACTTCAAAAAAGTAAATATTGTTATAGAGCAGAATTCTTTTTATCACTGTAAATATTAGTATTTACCACACACACAATATGAAAATTGCATGAAATTTCATAAGAAATTCACATATTTCATTTCATACACTGATATGGAAATGAGGCAGGAGTTAAACTGATGACAAAGCAGAACTAATGCAGAAGCTTTGGGTTTAGAGTTGGAATAAATCAGCTTAATGCTCTTTGGGTAATTGATTCAGATGGTTCAATGCTTTTCACCTCTCTGCAACATCTTTTAATATATGGTCCAGAGAAGCTGAATTAGCTGAATCGAGCCATTCATTCTCTGGTAAAGACTTGGCACTAAATTGCTTGTCTTTGTCATAGTTCTGTTCCATAGAAAGCAGCCTGTTATTTTGCACTCTTAGCAAGGTTAATACAATTCATTTGCATATTGAACAAATATAAAATAATAAAAAAATGTAACACAGAATAACAACCACTCTTAACCTCTAATAACAAAGTATTAGCCTTTAATATGTTTTTATTTCTTCTTGACAATAAAATATTCTTTTGGTCAGTTCTGAAGTTTTGACCCAGTTCCAAATTTTTTTTTAAATTGTGACCAATAAAGTTAAAGTGGAAAAGCCTTGTGAAACATTTCAACTCACATTAGCCGGTTGAAATGTTAATAGATTAACACTGACATGAAGACACCATGAAAACAAAGACAATCTTGACTCAAATGAAAGTAAAGAAAAAGTTGAAGAATTTGAAAAGAACATTTTTTTATTACACCCATTATTGTTTGAAATGAAGGTAAATGATTCACAGGGTTATGATTGTTTCAATAGTTTTTTGTCTTTTAGCAAACACATAGGCAAATTTAGTATTGGTTAATATAAAAAAAAACTGAGAGATATCCTGCCAGTATTCATAAGACAGGCAAGTCTGTGGAAGGAAAATGCAGTTGACATTTGAATCCTTAATGTCTGCTAAAACATTTCTGTTAAATTTGTCCATAATATCCCCAGCCAACCATGGGTCTACCTCTTTGTGCACTTAACCTCTAATAACGGTGGCTTTAGTCAACACTCATTTATTCTTTTTACAACTTTGGCAAACATATGCTATTGATTTTTGTGAAAAAAAAAAAAAAATCCACTATTTGATCTTCCACATAGAGGGATGCTAACTTCGATTTTTGGAAGCAAATAGTCCTAAACTGGCTGTTTTTTTAAATCTATTGCAATAGTATTTGTGCATTTTGTCTTACAATTTGGTTACCACAGTCGACTAGTTCAAGCAGCATATCATCACATTTTTTTAGTTATATCAGGGAAACCTAAATAGAAATATTATGATGAGTCTATCCAAAATTTCAGCTTTGAATTAAGAAGAAAAAAACGCAATAAATTAATATAACATAGGTTCAATTAGATAACTGTAATTACAACTAACACACCCAGAAAAAAAATGCTATTTTAAATTTGAAGCACAGTTATATCATAGCATTCACATTATATGGAAAAATGCATTTGGCAGAAAATGGCATACACACTTGATAATAGAAAGATGCTTTTTACCACAGAAGTCTCTCTGTATGGCTTTTGTGGCACAGACAATAAAATCTGTATATTTCCTGTTCATATGCACTAAGATGTTTTTCCTGATGCACAAAAGGTTTCTGATATCCTTATAGACTTGTGGTATTATATATTGAAGTTTTATTTTCTTGTGAATTGTCTTTTACAAAAAAGGATTTAATCCATGGCAACTTGGGTAAAAAATTGAGGCTTGGGATCTGGAGTTTGCATATTCTCCCATGTGTAGACTCTTTTCGGTTAACTGGACTCTAAGTTGTCCTCAGATGTGTGTGAGAACAAGGTTGATTTTTAATGTATGTTTTTGTGATGGAGTGGTGCCCTGTTCAAGCTGTACCTTACCTCCGGCCTTATGATCACTGAAGATCATCCCCCACCCCGACCATCACCCTCATGACCCTTGGGATAAGGAATGGATGGATGGAATTTAAGACACATTTTTTACATTTAATGTACAATGTTTTTTAAATCAACAGTTGCCTGCATATCTAAGTAAAACTCAAATAGTGTTTAACAGTTCCAAGACCATGTATAGTGAAATTACAAAGAAAAATAAGTATATGTAAAAGAAACAGGATCAGTCACACTGTTTTTTATTTTTGAGTATTTGTAGCATTTTTAGTCCCCCTGGGACTATGCATTATAAAGTAAAGTTCTTCATATATGCTATAGGTTCACAGCCATATTTTCACTCCCTTCTATTGCACTTGTGGGACATCGGGTGGGCACCATAATTGGGTTACATGACATGCAGCGGCGAATTATTTGGATCAGAGTAAGACGGAACTGTTTCATTCTGAATGCATAAACCATCGGGTTGAGTGCTGAGTTCACATGAGACATAAAAATTCCTACATACACAACAAACTTGGGTATGTCATAGTCTGTGCAAAAAAAGTCGATGCAATTCACGATATGTATTGGCATCCAGCACATTATAAAAAGAAAAACCACCAAGACCAGCGACTTGGCCAGTCTCAGCTCCTTTCGGTAGTACTTTTCTCCATCACAAGTGGCCTCAGCACGGCGGTTGAGCTGCTGCCGGATCACTCTGAAGATCTCCCCATACAGAATGATCATCAAGACCAGTGGCACCACCACACAGACAAAGAAATTAAAGTACACCATGTAGTCCATCCGAATAACAGTTTTAAACTGACAAACTATCTCTTTGGAGTTACTGAAGTTCCCGTGGTGCAGATTGTTCCAGCCAACCAGTGGAACCAATCCACTGAGGATGGAGAGGGTCCAACACAGACAAACTGCCATGTATGCCCTCCCCTGGGTCACTATGTCGCCGTACCTGGGCAGCACAATCAGAGGACAAATCAGAGTTTTTTCCAATAACCTAAATGCTCTCGCAGACAACTTTAATGGCATTTTCTTGTACCAAGGCCAGACTGTGATTTGTCAGATACATATTTTTAAGTGTCAGCCTTTGACTTCAGCATTCAGCTGATAGGCAAATGTTAGTGTGGACATGTGCCAGCTACCTAAACAAACTGCCTTTGTCAATAATTTAGGCAGACAATATTTTAATTTACTTAAAAGGTTTAATGTCCAGCCCACTGATTTGTAGAAAACTTGGCACTGATGTGACTGGACTCGACTGTATGTAGGATTTACACACTTGGTGAGCATTCCTCTCTGTTTCTCTTTAACAAAAAAAAAGAAACTTAGGTCTGTAAATGAGGAATATTTGAGAAAGTTCAGTGACAGTAGAGAAAAAACCCTTAATATTTACTAGTTGTAATTTAAAAGACATTTCAAATTAAGTGGTAAAAGTAAAAGTTTAGAAAACTACTCTAGAGTAGAAAAAAAGATTTAATCAATTTTCTGTTTTGTTCCATTGGTAATATTCAATTATTCATTTTGAAAGCAGTTTTGGTCTCTTACATCACAACCTGAGTAATCTATCATTCTCTTTTTAATTGTGTTCAATCTCAATTTGAAATGCAGGGGAAAGACAAATAAAAACATGTATGTTTGAAATGTAGATATGTGGAATTTAAACCTTTTCTTACCTTGTGGGAATTTTTATGCGCAGATATCGGTCGACAGCTATAGCCAGGAGGGACAGAATGGAGCTCTGAGTTATGATCAGCACCAGGCTGGAGAGGACGAGGCAGGTGTAGAACTGCGTCCTGAATCCCAGGCTGATGACAATGGCCAGAGGGATAACCAAACTTCCAACAGCAATGTCAGCCACAGCCAGAGATGCAATAAAGCTAAAGGTGGTGTCATGGAGAGCCTGGTTCACATACACCACAAGCACAATTAATACATTCCCTAGGACAGAGGCCACCGAAATAGCTATCTCAATAGAGATGTACGCCAGATCCATATGCTCCCTTGGCTTGACACCTGGAGAGGACATCTTTTTTATCATTCAATGCCTAATTTATCTTTGCTCAGAATGTAATAAAATGTGAATTAGTTCCTTTTCTCCTTTTTGTGTTCTCCTTCAGCAAAAACATCTTCCAGTAAACACATAGTTTAGCTGAGACAGATATAACTTTCGTCTTGCAACATTTAGAGCCCATGAAGGCAGACTGACTGCTCAATCTTCTGCATCAAATTCAAAATCTCTGTAAGGAACCCAGGGCTAGTACATCACCACTCTTCTCTACTCTCTCACTCCCTCCTATTCACCGACTACTCTGTATAAACGAGTCATAACATCAAGGGGAGGGACTTTGTTTTCTGCAGCACTCTGCAGCATTAGTTTTTCTTGCATTAAGTGGGTGTGTGTGCTCACATACACACATTGTATTATGTAGCTTGTTTCAGTGGAAACAAGCTACATAATAACTGGAAGGATACAGTTAGGCTGTGAGGATGGGCAAGCATTAGCATTCATTTGGTCTTCTAATGAAGTTAATGTATCATAATTAACTTCATCAATAGACTTCAATGTAGTCTGTGAAAGTGGTTTGGTCTCCAGTGTGAAAGTTTTATAACTACTGTTTTTAGGATGTAATTTTCTCAGAAAACTGTTTTTTGTGTTTTCATTGACACTTTTGTGTGAATTTTGACATTTTGTGCAAATTTGTTTGATACTGCATTGTTTTGAGGGAGACCTTGCAGGGGTTAAAGTGGAGAAAAAGGGATATTAATGAACAAAAACTACAATGGACTGTTAAATTCAGTGTCAGTGGTGTGATACAAATGCTTGGATGTGGTGTATGAGTGCATATGGAAGTGTTCAGGTGCAAAAACAAAGACAAACTCAAATGTGCAGAGGAGGGGAGCTGAGGGCCGAGCACCACAAACAACAGGAGCCCAAGTGGACGCAGAAGTTCACCCAGAAGGTGGAGACGGCCAGGTTTAAATACTCTGTGCTCCATACCAACAGATCAGCAGCACCTGTAAAGGGGAGGAGCACAAAGGCAGACAACAGAACCACCTGCAGCCCAGCTTATAAGGCCCAGGGCTGTAATATTTTCATATGTGAGTGCTGGGATATTTGATCAAGTGGTGCCTAAGCAGTTTAATTCTCCTTTTTGTTTAAAACAGTTCGGCTTTGTGGCACAAAGCCGAACTGTTTCTCAAAAAGCTGTTTCTCAAAGAGCAGATTTGATCTTTTTTATCATGCGTCTCTTTTCTTCTCGGATGAGTTTTGCATATATGGTGACAGATAACAGTGTGAGTTGGCAATGTGGTTTTGGCTCATGATGTCGTTTTTAGCTCATAAGAAAGATAATAGATGACTATAGCATGGAGACCTGTTTCTTATCAGTAGTACCATTTGAAATTAATCACCGCCCAGCAGTTATTAAACAGTCTTTTAAGAGGTTTTGTATAAGTTGACACAATCTAATGTTAGATCTTGTGTTTACACTGGCTGTAGCAGAAAATTATAAAAACAAAAGAGGAAGAAAAACTCGGAAGTCTGTGTGTACTTAGTCAAAAATGTTTCACTTACTAATCTGAGTCTGAAATCTGAGTTTCAGATTAGTAAGTGAAGTTATTTAATGGATCTGTACATCGCTTGTTTCATTTTTATTTTTTTTTATTTCAAATGTTTTTATTCTAGGCTAGTTCCTAACAGACAGACACTGCAGGAACAAAATTATTTTTTCAAGAATGATAATAAAAAAGAAATTAGGAGCAGGGTAAAATAAACAAATGCCAGGTAAAAGCAAGTTTGATATGACTTCAGCAGTATAAAATATGAAAGTGAGATATGTATGGTGAGATTATAAATATGTCGCTTAAAACCACTACAGCGGTGGTTTGCATGCATAGTCTCACAAGTCACTGTAGATAGGAAAGTCAATTAATTAGTTTGTAGCTAATATTACATGGTTCATTAGTAATATTAGCTAATATGATTAGAATTTTTGTAATACTAATGTAAAAATGTTATTATGCAAACAAAATTTTAAGCAATGGTTGCAAGACAGGTAAAAAAACAAGAAAAAAATAGAAGAAGTTGCTGCAGCTAAGGACTTCCTCTAAAGGCTTCGCAAGAGTGAGATGAATGATAAATGACCGGGTATGATCTAACTAGTCATGTTCAGCATTAGAAGCTCACCCCATCAATATGCAACATGAACCAGTCGGACTCAAAGAGCACCACGGATATTGATATTGAACAAACGATTTACACTTTGGTGGAAGTTCTCATTGCAGCATGCTGCTGTCTGGGGAATGCAATGGTTGTTTTGGCTCTGTGGAAAACAAAAAGCATCCAGCAACCCACCTACTGCCTCATTGTGTCTCTGGCTGTGGCTGATTTTCTTGTTGGAGTTGTGGCTATACCCTTGGCTGTGCTGGTGGATGGACGAATGGAAACTTCATTCCACACTTGTCTCTTCATCAGCTGTGTGGTGATCCTGCTAACCCTCGTTTCGGTTCTCTGTTTGACGGCTATTGCTGTGGATCGTTACCTTCGGCTCTCTCGCCCTTTCTGGTAAGACATTTTTCAGGTATTAAAAAATGTGCAGATGTGATCTCATGGAATGCCAAAATGCTATATTCTACAATAAGAATTTTAATTAAATCTTTTCTTTCCAATGCTGTTCTTTACAGGTACAAAAGGACTATAACCTGGAGGTATTCATATTCTGTGGCTACTGCATGCTGGCTTTTTGCAGTACCATTGAGTTTTGCTCCAATGCTTGGATGGAATGGAGGACTGGAGAAGTTTAATTCCTCTGAGAAATGCATGTTTATAAATGTGATCACCTTGAATTATCTGGTCTACTTTAACTTTTTTCTCTGCACCTTAACACCACTGCTGGTGATGACTGTATTGTACGCCTATGTTTTTTGCTACATTCGAGAAAATCTCAGAGAGAAACCAGGCAACGGTGCCCAAAATCAGTCAAAGAACTACCTAAAGAAAGAGAAACAGCTGGCATCATCTCTTGCTCTTGTCTTGGCCCTGTTTGCGCTGTCCTGGCTTCCACTTCACATTATGAACTGCATCCTTTTATTCACAAACCATGCAATCAAAATAGCTTTCCATATTGGCATTTCTCTTTCTCATGCTAATTCGGCAGTAAACCCTGTCGTGTATGCATTTAAAATAAAAAAGATAAAGAGAGCATACATAAACATCTGGAAACAATATACTTATTGTGAAGCCGAAAGTCAAGGATCTCAGACCAGCAAGTCTGATGTTAGATTCAGCTGCAATAATATGAGTGAGACCAATGACAATATGAGTCAGATCAATGAAAACTAAAATGACCTGTGAAAATGTTGCAGTCTTTCTTTATTCTAATCCAAGATTTTTCTTAATGCTGATAATGGTGGAGTAAATAGGAATAGCAATAACGCATATAAAAAATATGTTTTTATTGATGCTAATGGCATTAATGTATGGACTGTTTTGCTGTGTATATAAATACTTCTTAATTGTGACAAATTTGGTATGTCTATAACTTGTAAAGGTATCTTCTCTTCTTGAATTTCTTTATAAGTCTATTAATGTGCTTATCTAATTGTGTTGGGGTGTGATGTGAAATGAAGACATTTTTCTTGTCTATAGAACATCTGTTCTACAATGCAACACCATGGAGAGTTTATATATTCCTCTAGATTATGACTGAAAGTGCAGAACTTGGTACATAGTAGGAAAAAATGCTGCCAAAGTGAGTGGAACCTGCTTAACAAACATGTTTTTTTTTTTGTTTTTTTTTGTCTTTTGAATCACTGTCATCAAATATTATGGTAAATGCTGAAGAGCAATGCTGCGATGCTGAAGTTTACATCTCATTAAGCTTCCCTTTTATTGTTCAAAAAGAAAAGCACTGCACAATCTAAAACTGCATTATTTTTAAATAGATTTTTAGAACACAATTCATGATTTGTAAAACTTGTGTTTTAGGTACAACTCATAATTGTAAAGGTCTTATTTTGTCTTCAGAAATTATGTTGTAAGTGGTATAAGATTCACAGCATAACAATAAGTTTTTATGGAACAGGAACTAAATGAATTGTTCAAATTTTGGTCTAATCTCAAGTGATTAGATCAAATCCGAATCTCAGATTGATTATTTTTCACCTCTCTGTGATATTACAATATGTGAAACCACACAAATGACAACTTTGAGCAACAGTACTGAGAAAAGTTATTTACCCCTTTCATAGTTCTTCTTTTTTTGTTCCTATTCATTAAATAATGTTGTGTATCAACCAAATATAACAAGGGTAATGTATGTTTTCTGAACAAAGATAACCAAAAAACCTGGTCATATATAAAAAATGTAAGTCTCTTACATCACATTTTATAAATCACATCCAAGTCTGATTCTTGTAGAAACATACAACTACTGAAATACACACGTCTGCACACATGAAGTGTTGAGCTGTGTTCTCAAAAAGCAATTCTTTCTTGCCTGATCTAAAGAAATTAAAGAACAGATGAGAACCAAAGCCACACTTATGAGTCTGGAAAGTGTTGAAACCACAACAAGAGAATTTATTTTAAATAAATAAAACAGAACTATGGTGAATTTGTGCTGTAAGAGCGCAATACCAAAATGAAATCACAAATCTTCAAAAAGGACAACAGCTTTTGGGCTGCAGCCCTCAAATGCTTCACTTAATGTCAGTGTTCATGTTTCAATGAGGTTTGGCATCAGTGGAAAAGTTATTATTTAACAACCTTTTGGAAAGAGTATGTCCGATGACTAGGTTAAAAACTAGATTTTGTGAGGGTCAGAAAAAAGAACATTATACTAACAATTAGACGTGATGGTGGTAGTGTCATGTTCTGTGGCTGCCTTGTTCTTCAGGATGTAGATGATTTGCTGTATTTTAAGGTGGCCTTGTCAACACTAGCTAAGACAATCTTTGGTGTGAAATAAACTAAGTAAGTGGGCCAAACGTTCATTGCAAGAATGTGAAAGACCTTTTACCAGTTATTACCAGTTATTACAAATGCTTGCAGTTATTGATGGTGAGGGTGACAAAATCAGTGGTTAGGTCAAGCATGCAATTACTTTTTGCCACAAGATCAGGTTTATTTGGTTTTCTTTACTGAAAGAAATAATCAGTAGAAAATTGCTTTTGTATTTTCTCTTACTGAGCTCAAGTTAAAGATACAAACAAAATATTGGCTTCTCTGTTTTACCTAATACATAACTTGTCACAATTGTTGTCATAATCACGAGTTGAATTAGTATTTTCACAGCTACTTCTGGGTATTGCAAAATGTTTGTTGCAAAGAAACCCACTTCCACTTGATTAAGACTAGCGAGCTTCAGTCTCAACAGTTTCATATCACTGTTTATCAATGTTTGAGTTCAAGTTTCCGTTCATCTTGAAAGTGCATACGCTCACAGAAACTAGATTCACATCATTATAAGTTAATCTTAACTTGTACTTACATAATTTTCTGGTAATGTCTCTTAAATGATCAAAAGTAAGTATATCATGCTTATTATTCTTAATTAGAAGTGAAATCAGCTTTATATTGAATATTATCTGGATTATTCAGTTTATTTTTGGGGGGCTGAGAGGCCTTGCATCTGTGCATTATCATGCATATCTGCAAACAAATGTGTACCTTCATGCTTCTGCCCTGCAATATCGCAATACCAACACCAGAAAACTGAGCCATCTTGCCTGGCATAGTTTGATAAAGGTTAAGGTTTAAAAGTTCACAGTAATGCACTACCATGACGTCAAAGTTTTTCAAAGAATCTTCTCAGAAGAATTATCTCACAAGTTTTCCAATGTCGTAAATATTAGTAAAATATTATACATTTTATTAAACAAAAAAAAAAAAAACCTGTGCATCGATTGCCATATTATTTTAGATTAATTAAAGTATTTTTGAGTGTCATATAAATAAAAACACCAGAGTATAATTCTGATTGGTTCCTATGATGTGTGAATTTATTTATTGGAACTGGTAATCCACATATTTTCTTTATTCAGTAATATATTTCTATGAAACGTCCCCTTTTGGAAGCTCATTTAGAACTTATTTAATGTGTAACTACCAATATGTACAGTTACAGTCAGATTTTTATTAACACAGTATAAAAGACACTATGTTTTTTCAGTTCTGTTAAATTTAATTTAATTTAATTTTGTTTATTTGCAATGTATTGTGCTGATTCCTTATTTAATTATCATGAGTTACGACAAAACTCATGCTTCATGTCAAGATAACTGAAATTGTTCACCCAACTGAGAAGATATTAGCAACCTCAGACTGTGTGGTTACTTTGCCTTGTGCTGTTTACAAAATACAGTAGATGGAATAAAAAACAAACATGTGGAAATTAAACATGTACAATTAAAATATTGTTCACAACAGAAAAATAACAAAGTAGAAGAAAGAGGAAAATAACAGAACAAAGATTCTCAAAAAGATTTTTCTGATATTTTTTGCATCTTCATGTGTGAAGGTAATATTAACAAAAAAAACTGACAATTAAGATTTAAAAAATAACATTTTGACAGTAATTAAAACAACTTTTTCACCATCATCACCATGGAAATCCTGTCAATAGAAGAGCTGGTTCCTTCTATTTTCCATCTGCATGGTTACTTACTGACAACTCAGCTGAAATGTCCTCTATCTCTCCCTCACAGTCATCCCAGCCTGTATTTCAACTTCCATCTGGTGACTTGTTGGGTGACTCATTGATTTGTTTGACCCCAACAACTACATCTCTTCAGCTGCTGCTGGCTGGTGCAGTTCCACCAAAAGGACTTTCAGTTATTGCTCTCTTAATGTATTGTTTTTATGTGTATTGATTACCACTCCTCTCACAACTAATGGTTTTTACTTCTGTTAACTTTTCCTGTTAGAGTTTCCAGACTGATAGGTGTGGAGGAGATGCTTCCTTTAAAGGCCAAAGCTGCTGCTTGCATCACTTCCTACAGCATGGGGAACCGAACCTGGCTTCTAGTTTCAGCTTCTAGTTGGCTTCTTTGTTACCTTAGCAATCTATACATTCTCTGTAAGTTCGGTTTTATTGTTAACGTCACTCTATCTCGTTATTACTCTGCTTCCACCAGTGCGTATATGTAAGCTTTATGTGGCGATGGCACACTCCTCCTATTCAGTCACACGTAAAGGTTCAACGCCCCCTACTGTTGTTGGCTGGTAGAGTTGCTTAGTTTAACTTTTTGGTTAAGAGAACATGGCCTGTCAATGGTCTGTCTGATGTTTTCCGGAACAAATGGATTACTTGTCCACTCCTGTTTGAAAAACAAGGTGAAAGAATAAATACAGACTGAAAGACAGAGCTGGCCCCAGATTGTATGAGACCCTAAATAGAATTTGGTTTGGGCCCCCAAACGCATTTTTATTCAAAATACATGACTAAGGAAGTAGAGACCAAAAACATGTTTGTTTCTCTTTCCTCAGCAGTTAATGTTCGAGTGGTTAATTTTACACCAAGGTCGTGACTGTTACTCACACAAAGTATACATTTGCGTAATACAAAGTATACATTTCTTTAAATTCAATATCTGTGGATTTTAATCTTATTGAAAAACCCAACCAAATTGAAAATTAGCAATCATTATTATTTTAAACTTAAAAACAATTGGCTTTAAAACTTCAAATATATCCATATTTCAGAGTGTAGCAATTTATCAGTTTTCTGGCCACACGGTGGCGGTAGAGAGTCTTTCACTATGTAGATAAGCCAGTGAGAGGGATTTCAAGCACTCATTGTACCTTTCAAGGAAGGTAATAGACTGTATAGTTATCACCTGAGTAGGATTTGCTCCATCCCACAAACTATACAACCTACTACCTCACCTTGCTAGGCTCAACTTCAAGAATATATATATGTTCTTTAAAAAAAAAAAAAAGCTTTCTTGCACAAATATTAAAAATGATGTCTTTTTAAATAAGCGTCTTTGCAGAAGCTCGGTAATGACAATCCTGTGCCTTCATGTGTCTTCAGAGGAGCAGGGATGCCTTTAAGTTGAGCGTTTATTTCTTTTCTGAGTTCCTCAACTGAAGAAGCTTCCAAAGTGCATGTTGGCTTGGCTTGAACCGTGGCTTATTCTGTTTCCTTTGGAAAGACAGTAGATTGTATAGTTATCTCAAAAGGAGGACACAAACCCCACAACTATTCAATCTACTACCTCAGCCTTAAGGACAGATAATTTGGCAGGTAGGGATGGTAAACAGGCATTTGAACCTACAAGACACATTAAAAAAAGTGAAGTTATTCTTCAGTTACAACATTTATTTTTGTGAAACCATGATTGTTATTATACTTGTGAATAAAAGCAAAATATGAGACTGAGAACTGTCTTG